AACTTTAATTCTTCCCCTATAGAACTCAATATTACATATATAAAATGGTCAGTTCATTTTCCAAGTTTTTCTGAGGATGTATTTTCTAATTCTAGGGTAATAAAACAAATATAAAATCGGTTTTCAAAAAAATACTAGTTACTCTCTAATACTGTACCTAAAAGTGATTTCTGTGCCGCTAAAGTATTTATGCACAGAAATCACAATCAAGCCAGGCGTAGTGGCGCACGCCTGTAATCCCAGCACTTGGGAGGCTGAGGCAGGAGGGTCGTTGTGAGTTCGAGACAAGCTTGGGTTACAAAGTGAGCTCAAGTCCAGCCTGAAGTGCACAGCAAGACCCTATCTCAAAAAGACCAAAAAAAAAAGAAGAAGAAATCACAATCAATAAAACGGCAAAGGGAAAAAATGAAATGTCTATGAGGAAACTTAATTTTGCATGTTTTTCCTTATGCTCTGGGATTTTAAATATAAACAACTCCAAAAAAAAATCTACTAATTCCAAAGACTAATTCAAAATTGATTGTTTCAATATCATGAACTGGCTCAGGTTCTTTACCTGTGGAGAAATCTTTCTTTTCCTATTCCTTAATTCAGCATGTTTGAGATGGGTTCAACTCTAAAATCTTGAAAGTCCCATTTTTATAATCCTAGGAGCTCACCTCTACCAACAATTTAACTCATTCTTCTCTAAGGGTTCCCTAATCACTATTTCCTTTTTTTTTTTTTAACTGCTTGCAACTTACCACCACTTACATATTTACTTCAAGTACATGAGCAGTACATCAAAACAACTCACTACGCTCCTATTCTCTTGGCTGTACACAATTCTGCAGTCAGGCAGAATCAAACCTCATTTAGGGTTACAGTGCATTATACGAACAGAATAGCAGATACAAGATTAAACAGAATCAACTACTTTACTACTTGTGTGAGGAGAGGTTTGACAAGTTAATTTCCGTCAGCTTCTGTTTGAATGACTAAATAAAATAATGAAAATGCTTAGTCATAGAAGATAATCTCTGTTCCTTCTCACTCCTTATAGCTCATCACCAAATTCTATTAATCTTTCCTTCATATTAAATCCTTAAGATATATGACAGTGATACATGCACACTCATATTTATAGTAGCATAATTCATAATAGCTTGGAAGTAGCCCATAGGTCCATCAACAGATGAATATATGTAGTATTTATATATGATGGAGTACTACTATGCCATAAACAAGGATAAATTTGTAAGGAAACAAATATACCTTGAGACCATAATGTGTGAAACAAATTAGACACAAAAGGTTAAATATCACATGATTTCTCCTATATGAGAAACCCAAGGTATAAACACTATAAAGAGAAAATAAAAGATAATAGGAAGCAGGGAGATAGATCTTTTTCAAAAAGAAAGGGGATAAAGAAATGGAAGGGAAGGGGAAAGGGAAAGAATTGAGATTTGTTATGTACAGTTCCCAACTCCCCATGAGAAACATAATCATTACCTACTCCAAACATGTGCTAATAAAGAGGAAAAAAATAAACCCTTATATTTGCCTTATCTTCCAAATATTCAATTATTCAATGAAATTATTAAGTTTCTTGATTCCCGAGAAGACCTAATATCTTTATGTTTAGTATCTTCTGCTTCCTCATAAACTACAAACTTATTTACGTATTAGGTATACTTGCCTACACACATGCCTATATATTAATTTTATTGTACTCCACCTCCTCAGTTTAAAAGGACTGTGTACCAATGTCTATTTTACCAATGCGTCAGACTGGCATTTAAGACTCTCCATAGATTTATTATTCTTCCTTGCTTCTCATTACTACCCTTAAGATTAAACAAGAATAAATTTAGTATCTAGCACACAGTATTTGCATATGCAGCTAATGAAACTGTCAATATCTTTTGCTGGAACAGACCCTATCCCAAGTGACCAGAGGGTCCCCAGCAATTACGTACCTGTGCTTTATATTATTTCATTACAGAGGAACCCAAAAACTACATAAGCTTCAGGACTCCTTGCTCAGTAAATATGAGCTACTGTTATGACACCTGAAATGCAGGTTTTTGCCTTCGCGCTCATGTTCATTCCCTCACTTCCCCATTTAACAATCCAGACAGGTCAATATTCTAGACACTACAGAAGAATTCCAAATTCCTGTAGCCTACGGTCAAACAAGCGCAATTCAAGAAAAAAAAAGACATATTTAGAATGAGAATCAGAAGAGAGTTTAAAATAAAACCCTATGGGAAGTCAAGGGAAGGATATCTTCAACAACTGGCAAGGAAAAAGCTCTATGGAAAGGGCAGCATCGACAGGGACTCGGAATGTTAGGCAGCAGGTACACAGAGAGGTAAGGGGTGAGAGGAACTCCGAAAACGACAGGGGGATTCGGATAAATTTTATTTTACCAGGCTTAGCTGCTTGGAAGTCCTAAGGCGTTAAGTCTTTTCCCAACAATGTTTCATCCTGGTATTTGTTATAAACACCTAAAATTACCACCTACCCAGTATTTTTGGTAACTTTCATAGGTATTCAGATAATAATCAGGCTCTATACGGAAGAAATAAACTTTGGACTGGGCCATTTTTAATATAAATTCATGCTCTCCAGATCCATTTCATTTTAGCGAAGAAGAAATTAGAATTGGGACTTATTTACATTACTCCATAGAAGGAAAAGAACAGATGCTGAGTTGTAACTGTTGTTTCAGTATCAGGTACAGTTAAAAACAAATACCCCACTTCCTAACATTTCCATCTGAAAATGTGTATCTATCACGCGGTGTGTTAAATACAGAGTCTTAAATTGTAAACTACACTTAATCTAAAGAAACTCTGGGGCAGGACTGGGGATTTAGCTCAGCGGCAAAGTGCCTGCCTGGCAAGCGCAAGGTCTTGAGTTGGGTTCCCGGTACCGGAGAAAAAAAAAAAAAAAAAAAAAAAAAAAAAAAAAAAGAAACTCTGGGGCAGAGTCTACCAACACACGATTTGACAGTAATGGCAAAATGATAAAAGTTACCATTTTTAAGCCTTACGTTTGACATACTCATGCCTTTCCTAGACCATCTCTCATAGGACTTTAAGGATGTTATAAAAGCCTAATATGAAACAATTCCACAAGTGATGTCCAAATGACTCTAAGATGAAAGTTATTTCTTAATAGCCGTGGTTGCACATGACCTGGTATCTCATGACCAGCTTGTTCAGAGACCAGCCTCAGCTCCTCCTCTCCAAGTTAACTGCTGGCTCCAGCCATTTCTAAAAGTTTCACAGGAAGGGAGAAGGAAGTCAAAAACGCTATGAGTCTACTCAGAGCAAAAACTTAAAAAAAAAGCATTATCAAGAGACCATTCAATTTCAGTCCTGTAAATGACTATTATTTACTTCGCTGAAATTTTTAAAAGTTTAAAACATACAAAAACGAAGTTTTGCCTTACTTTGAGCCCCTTCCTGCAAAAAAAATTTTTTTATTAAATAATGCTTTTCGTCCTGGACTAAAGGTTGGTCTCCCTTCTGACAAGTTCCAAATTACTAGTAATATTTTTTCTACTCACTGGATCACGTGTCAATTAAATAGCTCTTTTCTGAAACGGGGTAAGGCGTGCGGAGAAAGTACAGAGGTGCTCCACAGCGATACCTCTCACCACAGCGAAGATCACCACCACACCAGACTTCAGGTTCACGCCAAGTCAACGGGCTCGTCTACACAGCCGCGTCAGCAGAGGCCCCCAGACCTATTCGATGGGCACTTCCACACTCATCTAGCTAGGAAGGTCAGATCTGAACCGCCCCCTGGCTCCGTACTACTAGAGACACCGCCTTAGCCCAACCCAGATTCCTACACCCGGGACAGCTGCGCCCTGGGTCTCAAGTCACGGTGCGCAGCGCTTCTCCCGAACTGGCTCTCGGGCTAAAACGCACCTCCCGGCCCGCGGCGG